CTGAATCAAAGATGTGCTTTGCTTCAGAAATCTCCCCCTCAAGCCAAAAGCAGCCAGTTTGGCTTCTCCTGAACCAGGAGCGCTGAGGCTGGCAGAGACACAGAGGAGTGGTAAACAAATCCAGAACATTTAGTCTCATAAACATCCTTTGCACTTGGGTTGTTTTGTTCTCCCTGGTCTTGGGTCTAAAGCTGTCAATGGGATTTGGAGCACTTGTTTCTGTTGGCTTTTCTGCTTTATAGTTTTAAGTTTGCTCCGCAGAGACTCTGACCAGGAAGAGGAGACATAATGAACTGTCAACTCCTGCTTTGCTTCTGGATACTCCATATTTTCTCTCTTCACCCCAGTTCTGAGAGATTGTAGTTTTTCAATTGTCAGTTATTCCATTGCAAAGGATCTCACCTGTCTGCAGGCTCTGGCATCATCCCCATTTCATAGCTTAAAAGTCCAAAGAGAATGCACAAGAGAAGCAGGGAGAAGGCATTCAGGGTAATTCCAATGAGATGGAAGAGGGAAAAATCAAACCCACACAACTTTTTAGATGAATAAACCCAAACCACGGCAATCAGTGCAGCACCAGATAACCCACCCAGCACTAAGCAACTAAGAGGTTGCAAAGGCATTTGCAAGCTGTGCCCAAGGACTTAAGAATGAACTCCTGATACTTCCTAGCAAAGAACAAGTACCAGTGATGCACAGAGCACCAGAAGGGGCACGTCTCGCTTCAAGGACTTATTCTCCCTCTGGGACTTGTCACATTCTGCTCCTGTTTCCAAACACAAGCTCCTGCCTTTCAGAGGCCAGGCAGTAGTGTCAGCTCTGGCTCTGCTTGATCTATGGGAATGGACTGCAAAGGTTCTGCTCCACCTTATTGAAAGGAAACCTAATTATAAGGATTTTAAATCCACTTCATACGTTCTATAGTACACAGGTGATACCAAGATGCCTGCAACCTCAGTCATGATGTCATCAGCTTCAAAAAGGCAACAGTCCCCCAAAACCATTCAAAGAGCTGCCAACCAGAGTGCAATCCTCCTCCTCACAGAGTGGAGGGGGCAGATGGTGCCTCTTGGCAGCACAGCAT